GCTACCTTTGTAAGATATGAAATGAACAATAGCGGCTGCTAAAGAAGTTATATCAGAACTAAAGAGTATTTTATTGAAAGAAGAGCAAAGAATGGCACCGAAGGCTTTTCTTGATGTTTTTGGTCTTATAACTTCGGTAAAACTTTGACTATGTTCTATAATTTGCCTGTGATGGACAATGATAGACAGATGGTTCATCCAATCACCTGCCAAGTATTTTTAAAGTTCCTGCCCTTTTCAAAACAGTTTGCAATGATGACTTCCCAGATGGTTCTCAGTCATGTTAGTGAGCTCCTTGCACGGACGAATACAGCCACTTTTCTGGTAAGGACGGTCTGCATTTATTCTGTTTGCATTATACACAATGCGTTTGAGGTACTTTAAAATAAAGTTAATCCAGTAGTGAATTAAAAATGCACTATTTCAGAGCTGAAGCAGAATAGGCTGATAGTATGGGAGATGCACAGTGCCCATTGACCACATTCCAATTGTAGTTGATATAGTAGAGTCCACATGGCCCAGATGTGTTCACATAAATATTCAGACCATGTATTTTCAATTACGAGGTCTGAACTAAAAATGGAGATTTTGTGGACTGTGATGGTTGGGGCCTAAGGGGCGACAACAGGTTGCAACTTTAAAAGAAACTAAAATTAAGTGATTGTAGTTGTCTGTAGCAACACAAATACATATTTAGTACAAATAAACACTTGGTTAATACTGAAATTTAAAACATAATAAAGAGATTGCATCAATCTTTTAAATAATCAATGTGCTATGTACCAGAACAACAAAATCAGATGGCTTTACACAAACTGTAAAGCTCTTTAAGTGAAGGCTTTTGGTTATCAAAGCATCAAAAGGGGCACTTCAGCAATTTAGTTCTTCCATAAAGTCGTCGGACTTGCAAGAGGCAGTTTAAAAAATCATGGTCAAAATCGAAGCAGGCTGAAGAATGGGTCTAACTTCAAAGCTTCTGAATCACAAATTTCTCATAATGCAACTTGACAGCATTTTTTGTTTGATGCTCCCCACCTGGTAAGCGTCCACATCTCTCAAACTCACTGCTCATGACAAATTGACTCTCATGTGTAAGAAGTGATACTAGTTGCCAGCTATCTTTGAATGAAAGGAAAGAAGTAAGTGAAAGCAGTGCTGAGTAGTGATGGGTGGACACAGCCAGATCAGTTCTAACCAGCTCTTTGGTCTGATACAAAGTTGTTGTGTGTCACAGACAGTGTTTGGCAGTAACTACTCGTAATAATAATTATTTCCCCAGTAAATAGTAGTGTGACTAATTACTAATACATTTTAGTAATAATATTACAGTTACTGATCCAAACAATTTCTTATAATATTAATTTTGTTGTCACCCCCTAAATCCTGAAATCCTGAAATCCAATCAGATCCTTGGATTCATTATTGTGAAAAATAGGAGGAAACTAGTTTAGAAGATGGAAATGCTTATATTCAGCGGCTGTAAATTACTTTGATTTGAAAAAAATATATAATTTTTGGGAGATGTGGTTATTGTAACCAATGTCGTGGGGAGTAGCAGAAAAGTAATATAACTAGTAGAGTAACTACTCACTGTTGGCAGGGAGTAATAAGTAATTATACTACCTTTGAAAAGAGTAATGAGTAATGAGTAATATTTTACATTTTTTGAGTAACTAGCCCAACACTGGTCTCAGACATGTGAATGAGGACCCAAATGCAGACCCTTTACTAAATGTTATTAAATGTTCAAATTAACAGGCTTACAGTCAGGCAGAAGGCAGGTTATAAACAGCAGCAGATATAAAGTCAGAAAAGGTAGAGATGGCTAGAGCAAGTGTGCAACATGACAGACTGCCAAAGGAAAAGGGCTAGTGAGCTGGTTATATACACTGAAGGACTGATGTGATAATGAGAGGCAGGTATGCCAGCAGATAGGGATGGTTTGGGAATACGAACAGGTGAGCCGATGGATGTGGGAGTCAGGTGACCAGGGCAAGTGGGAAAGTCCAACAGCATCTGGTGGACTGGTGGAGAAGGTCTGGCAGGTCTGGAAAGTTCTTCAGAAATGTATGACAAGTGAGCAGTTTTTTTCATTATTTTGAGCCCCACCAGTAGACGGCTTCATTTTTAAACATTTGAATGACCTATTTAGGATAGGTTGAGTTGTGATGTAGAAATGAAATCGTAAAGCTTTCAAACCCTCTGCTGAAAAACATATGAGAAGCTTTAGGGCATTGGATACCGTAGTGATGGTCATACAAGGGCTTTTGAAGCTTTTTGGCCTTTTTTTCCTGTTTGTTGCTGAAAACAGGTTCTAAGCTTCAGGGCACTGAAAACAGAGAGGAAAGTGATATCTGGTTTGCAGAAAGTATTAGTCAAGACTGGTGCCAAAGCACTGGCACAACACAAAACCACCGATTTCATAGTTAAGATAGATTTCATATGTGCACATTAAGTTTATGAAAAGTCTATATGATGTTCTGGATGCATAAATACAAACATGAGTTGAGAGAAAGCATTTGAAATTCTTTGTCAATGTGGCTTATGTCCACTGCACAGTGTGAGATTTAAATATGTACAAGAGCAGAAAAATAGAGTTTTATACAGATCTAATATTTATATCTGTGTTGGGTTTCACCTTCTCCCCTGGCTACCCATTTTTCCAGCTTTCTAAATTTTCACTGTATGTTTGAAGCTTTAAACAGCATGACTCATGTGATATGACGGTCATGAAACAAGCATTTGACACAATGTATCAAGCAGTACACCGCACACAGTACACAAAAGTGAAACAAGCGTATGTGCCTGGCTTGCCCTTGTGTATAGAGTACCATCAAACAGCCAATAAGCCTGTGTTACACATTACACAGACATTAATTAACACAGTGTGAAACACACCATGATATGGAGGAGAATCTCCATTATAGCACTTTATTCAGAATGTCTCAGAAATACAGGTCTTCTGTTGTTTGGTCCCTGTGGTCTACAGTAAGGTAAGGTAAAGTAAGGCTACTAGTGTCTTCACATTCATTTGTAGCCTGCTGGGAAAAAATGAAGTAACTGTCATTCTATTAGGCAAGTAAACTAAACATATGTACACGTCTTCCTGTAAACTCTCAACCTTCTGACAAAGGACATATTTTGTCCTTTAGGTGGAAGGACTTGGTGGGGAGTCATACCATGCTGACCAGGTTGTGAAGTGACCAAGTGATCTCAAATTTAAAAAGAATTTAAAAATAGTGTCCTACGATATGACAAAAGTTTGTGATGCCCTGAAGAGGTTAAGCTCTCATCTTACTGGTATTAACTTTTTGTTCTGGTGACAAAAAGTCAAATTATAAGCACTTGTTTTTTTTTATGTTCGTCTGGTTGTTGGAACCCTGACCCTTCATGTAAGAGGGTTTTATTCATATTATGAAAGTAACAGCAGTTAATGTTGTCCTGTTTGGCCTCATGATGTCACTGTGATGAAAAAGTTTGTTTATATTAGCTTACTGCCCCAGTAACATGATGGTGCTTGATATTGGAGGGTTTTTATGAAATTATTGATGATAATGAATGAATTTGTTCTTGTACATTTATGAATCTATTGAATTTATGAGCTCTGAATGGGATAACTGTAAAGATACCATCCAAGGAGGGTCCCAGGAGAAGTTAGGACTGATGAGGGAGGTAGTTTTTCTGGCCATATTTCCAACTTGGTGAGGAACCAGGGACGTGCCATGACTTCTGAAAGCTGATAGATACTCTAAAAGTCTGTCAGAAGAGCCGCTTTAAGCTGAGGAACTCCATCTGTCTAACCTGACTGCACCAGATGGTTTGTTACATAGAACCATCTGGGAAGTCATTGCTGGAGACTTTGGAAAAGGGCAAGCACTTTCAAAAAATACTTGGCAGGTGATTTAAGATATAGTGCCTGAGATGCTTTTGTTCCACAGAAAGTTCAATTATCTTCTTAAATTAGGTTACATCTACTCATTCTTCTTATTTAAAAACCTGAATCAAGTGTGCAAATATTGTTCATGACACAAGATCTCCGTTCTCAGTTTATGTGCAGAGGTTTCAAGTTTCCACATCACAATAGTGTAAGTTTCATATTGGACCATGGATCACAAAAGCATGCTGGTAACTCACATGTAAGGTGACAGGTGGGCAGATAAATGTCTGTTTGAAATTTAATCTCAGCTTACTCTGTTGAATCACAGTAAATTAAAAAGATGTCTTTTTGACCCATTAATCCAAACTGGCAGTGTGGGCCTGCTGATAATGAGTCTATGGCTGTGTTGGTGATGACAGACATCAGATATAAGTAACATCTGAATTATCTCAATTACTGACCACTTGCTTTTAAATTGTGTACTTTGGAGCACCGTGAAAACACCTCTGGAAAATTGGAAAATGATTAACATCGGCAGTAGTTTCTCAATTTATCCGGTAGGAACAAACATCAGTGTCTGAAGTGCATGGGCTGAAAAAGTAAATAGGCTGTGCTCCCATAAAGCAAGTCGAGCGAGAGTCCGTAAAAATACTACTACTACTACTACTACTACTACACACACACACACACACACACACACACACACTAACTTTGCTATAAAACAACTGGAGACACAAAGCACAGTATTGCATAATTGAGGAAGTTTGGTTTGTGCTCCTGCAGACTTGGCACGTTAATAATAAACGTCAATTTACATCTCTGTCAAAAGACAAATTTGAATCATTAATAATTGATCGCCCTGCCTTTATTTCATTGGGGGAAAGTGTCGATGTTTGCCAGATACAAAAGTCCTTTCCGGAATTCACCTTCAGTCAGACCGAACTTGAGCGCCTCTGACTCTGATTTAGGAGGAGTTTGTGACTCTTGCAGCTCTCCTAGGACCTTTACCAAAACGTTTTCCACAACGTTAGAGTGGGGTTGAGCAGTAACAATCCCTGGGACCTGCAGACACTTGCATCGTGCAAAGTTCCAGTCTCGTGGCCAAGTAAACACTTTCTGGGAAATGAGCCAAACTAACCGACAGTTATCTTGCAACAAACTTTGGCCAGTGGGTGCGAAAATAAAGACAGGCGACGCCGTGAGCGCTCTCAGCATGGCGCAAAACCCTGAAGAAAGTCCGGTCTATTTCACCAAAATCTCAACGGGAAACGGTGCCGACAGGCTGAAAGAGTCCGACCATGCAGACCCAAACACTTACGGATCCGGACACACGAATCCACTGGCCTGTGACATGGAAAAACACTGCTGTCAAACAGCTGCTGCCCCTCAGGAGGAGTTGTTAAACGCTGACTGCCGTGTGGGCGACAGCCGCTCCTTTTCAGCCTGCGCCACAATATCAGAAACAGCCAGGGAGCTCTGCAAAGCTGTGTCCGTGTCTCTGGGACTGGCCATGGAGTGCAGTGACACGAGCGACGTGGATGCTGGGACTCTCCACTCGTGTGCTGCAAATGACCACATAAGAGGAGAGTATTTGTTCGGAGTCGGAGCCGTGCCCCTGAACCGTCCCGGAGCCCAGGCTGCTGTCACCGACTACAAGTGCCCCGACCGAGATGACCGGCCCCTGCACTGCCAGAAGCAACTGGTGGAAATGTTCAAGACTTCAGAGACTGCTGCGCGTCTGCATCACCTCACCTCCACTCGGACCTCTGTGGATGAGCAAAACTTCACAATGTGCAAGGCTGATGACATAACTTTACAAGAGTTAGATCATCTGGACACATCAACGCGCGCTGCCTCTTGCCCTTATGCCCAATCCGCGCCAGGCAACTTGGCACACTTCGGCCAGGCGGCCACAGAGAGGCCGTGCCGAGTCTACAAGCCCCCCAACGAAGCGAGAGACTTCGGGGAAGCCATGGAGAACAAGTTCGCTGGTTACCCAGAACAATACAGCGTTAAAATCAAATCTGAAGACCCCGAATGTTTGGCGGCTTCGTGGGGTACTAATTACACCTTTGATGAGAAGTACAACTCTCAGTTTTGGGGTTCGAGGCAGCAGTGCATGAACGCGCACAGCACAGGAGCCAGCACCGCGTTCATATGTAACCCATATGAACGGAGCGTGGTGCGTCCTGAGCAGTGGTACCCTGGCGGGATGCTGAGGCCGCCCTATCCCAACTCCAACTACATGAAGACTGAAGTCGGCGAATGGCTCGATGTCGCCTACAATGACACCAGGTAAGCTATAATAATAATAATAATAATAATAATAATAAGTTGAAATAATGTTTTGGGAGCAGAAAAGTTTGAGTTTGCTCTGACAAAAAAAAAAAATCTCAAATGACCAGAGTCTGACCTTAATCTGATCCCAGGCATGAGTGTTGACATTCTGTGCAGTTACTCCCACATAAATTAAATGTTTCTGGTCAAGTGTAGATTGACCACCTGCCGGCCAGTAACAGCAACAAAACGCAGCCTTTTATCAAAATATAATGATTTTGTAGTTATTCCTCACAGTTTAAGGTCTTGATGGTTATTTTAAAGACAACAAATGCGTTTATTCAACACTTGGTTTTTTCAGTTAATTTTTCAGTAAATGCATTGGGAAACTTAAGCTCATCAAATTAGACATTTTATTTAGATTTGGAAATATATTTATCTGGTGCACATCCTTGAGTTTTAAAATACATGTGCAAGACGCAAGCTGATTTTACGTTTCTCTGTTTAAAATATTACTACATTTAAATTAAATTCCTTCAGATTATAAGAGGGTGCAAACAGCCCTTGTTAAAATACATAAACATGAATAGTAATTCTAAAGACATACATAATAAAGATATTCTTTATTAATGTCAACACTGTGAAAATAGGATAAAGTAATAATATCTGTAAGATTTGTTAAACATCAAATCCATAAAGTTCTGTTCAAGAACATATTTAATTAGTTTCCCTCCTTCATCAAACATTAAAAAATAATGTTTTTTACTGTGTTGTCTGATTCACCAGCTCATAACATCCACGTGAACATGAATGGAGAAAGTGTGATTCTGTTCTGAAACAACTATTTCTGAATGCACAAAATGAAAAAATATAAAAAATATGTATCTCTTGTAAGAGAATATCATCTCTGAATTTGTTGGATTGATTTTATAAAAAGGTCAGATGTGACTACAGAATACACCCAGCAAACTGGCTTCTATTTTTCTTTTTTTAAGTGGAGGTGAGTGTTAATAGCTCTGTCACAATTTTATACATTAGTTAACGAATGTTTCCAAAGGTTTCACACGCTTTGTTGTTGTGTTCTTAAATAATACTTAAGGAATTTTTAACTTAAAATTACATTTGCATGGTTGACCGACAGCCACAAGTTACCATGTGTACATGCAGTTGACGTCATCGTGCCCTTTCTCCAACAGTGACACTGGCTATTAGACCTCAGTACACTGAGACCCTGTACAATTGTATTTTACTGTTTATTACGGTGGATTTCCAAACCAGAAACATCTAAGCCAGGAATATAGGGAGCAGCAAACAGTGATGTTCTTATATGTGAGGACAGTGAAACCAGCTTCGAAATCCCAAACAAGAAGCCTCTCTTAATCCCATCTCTGCAGAGAAAGACATGGAGGCATAGCAGTGGGGTCTGCCCGACCTACTGAGCTGTGATCTAACTTCATCTGCTCAAGAAGACATGAAGCCCTAAACATACTTTGCCTAATGGCAAAAGTACATACTGCTTTTATTTTAATTTTATGGTAATTTACCTTTATTGAATAGCCTATTTTGACTGTAGGCGACAGGAAACACGGGGAAAGAAAGAGAGACGGCTGATCTATATAACAGGTCCCCAGCCAAAGCTCAAACCGGTTTCATGGGGGCTTTTATGGTATGCTCTCGTCTGGCTTATCACCTCAAGTCCCACGGCTTGTTCCAAGAGGCAGGTTTATTAAATTATCTGGACAATGTTGCTGAATGAAACCCAGAGCAGAGCTTTAATGTGACCATGCTCCAGATTTGAATTTTACTGAGCAAAGCTTTCCAGAAAGACTTGTCTACTACCGCGATGTATGATGGTGGCAGCATTATGCTACTACAAGGACAGGGAGACTTTAAGGACCTATTAACATATTACATTTTGAAATTCCTCTGTTAGTGGCCCAATCAGAGTTTGGTTGTTGTTGCTCAGTTGTTCTTGTATTTTTTTAAAATAGACAGATGATAAGAAAGTCCAAATAAATTAACCATTTAGTCTACTGTAAACACACTCGCCTTGGCTATAGCTGCCGTGATCTGTTGCTCGTTTGCAACAGGCTGACCTCTGCTGGACTTGGACCAAATTGATAAATATCTCTTCTATAATGAATGAGCACCTGTTGCATTGCCTCCTGTTTCTGCTGCTGAATTAAGCATTAAGTACAAGAATTCTGTACCTCAGTATTATTTGCAGAAAAAATACAGTGCAGTAGGTGATTATGTTGCCGTTTCACCCAGTGTAAATATAACATTGTATATAATGACGATATCTTTATAATACTTTATATCAACATGTTTGATTAGTATTTGTCAACAACAAAAACAGAACACAAAAAAGACAAAAAGTCACTTACTAATCAAGCACACGATACATTAACCAATATATAAAACAGAGACAAGAATTCCACCACACAATAATCATAAAAGCATAAAACAAATGGGTAAAATAAAATCCAGCACACAGGAACAGGTTAGATAAAACTCCTGTAGGAAAACTAGCAGCAACATGAAAAAACTCACTAGATCAGGCGTGCCCAAACTTTTTCCCTTGGACGGCCAAAACTGAAACTTAATAGTGGGTCACGGCCAAAAGGTAAACATCTATTTTATTCTATTATTAAGATGCAAAATGGCACTAGGATCCTAATTCCCTTAATTGACTGACGTTCTGCGGCAGTGACAATTAAAATAAAAAGTTTAAGTAGATCAGAGTATGAAAAATAATTCATATTTAGGGATTCCACTTATTTACAGAGCATTTTACCTTAAAAAAGAGTTATTCATATTATATATTTTTAAATTAATGTTTAGTTATTATTATTTATTTATTTTTTTACATCCAGTGGGCTAAATCAATCTTTATAGCAGGTTAACTTTGGCCCACTGGCCCCACTTTGGGCCACTTTTGTGCTTCAAGAGCTTTAAAAACATTTGCCCTATGGCCCAATTATTTATCCCGGTGAGTGGCCTGCAGAGCTATGTTTGGGCTGTTAAGGAGGCGGACAGCTTCAGGATATGTGCTATTCTGGAACCTGTGTGTTCTGGTCTGAATGCGTCTTAGTCTTTTTTGAGATGGAAGGAGATTAAAAAGTTTCATTAGCTGGCTGAGAGGTGTCCTTTATAACTTTAAGGGCCTGTTTTTGTAATCTAGTCTTATAACTCTGGCTGTAGTATGCATCACTTTGTTACCTGTCCTCCGCTGACATGATGCTAAACCACACATTTATAGCATAAGGGAGGATGCTCTCCACTGCTGCTCTATAAAACTTCACCATACCATCCCTGGAAATACCACATATTTTCAGTTGTCTTAAGTTGTCTTGGCTTGGGTTGGGTTCGTCAGGCACAGGCACGATCACAGCTGAATTAAAACATGCTGAGACCATCTGCTATGCAAGGGAGCAGTTAAAAATCAGTAAAAATAGAGGCAAGTTCACTACAGAGTGGTCGGACAAAACATTAATGTGTTTTATACATTTTGGTGTGGCAGTGAACCTGCACAGCTGTAGTTAAACTCTGGGCCACATTAGGACTATCATGCTTAGAGAACATTTACATTTTTTTTCTATCTTTATATTTGTTATACGCTCCTCTTTTAAGGCACTTTGCAGCAATGTAAAGACACCATGATTAGACGTATATGCCATTTTCTGGAATTGCTAAACTAAAGCGTTTTTTTATGTTAGTGCCTTGGCGACATGAACTGTCACAGAAGTGAATAGGTATTTATCTTTAATCCCCAACTCAGTTTAGGGTTCCCCGCTTGCTCACCAGGCAGAATCTTTACTGCAGGGGCCCAGGTTCACATTCGGCTCGAGACCGTTTGCTGCGTGTCATCTCCTTTCTCTTCCCGTCCCTCTCTGCTGTCCTGTTAATAAAGCAGAATGTCAAAAAATACAACTAGATTTTAAGAATTACACAGGGGCTTTCAGCAAAGACAGAAGTGGACCTTGTCTGTCTCAGATCTGGACTCACTGTGAGGCTGTGAGTAAATGTGAATATGATAATAATTTATGGCAAAATTATTTAAACAAATCAGCCACTATACCAAAGTTTATTCTAATCTCATCATTTAAAAGATGATAGAATAATCAGTGTTTAAGTCAGTTTAAAAAAAACACACAAGCCATATCTTCTATATCTTCTCTAAGCCCTTACAGACCATGATATATGGCATTAAAAGGTGTAATAAAGGGTTAAATAAAACTTCTACATAGTCAGACACTCTCCGTCTGTAAATCCCTACTGTTGAAATTAGACCAGGATCTTTTATCCCTGAATGCTTGTAAATCCAGAAACTTCAAGGTCACAGGACTGTTTGCTCCTCCATTCTCCGCACATAAATGCCACGGTTGACAAACTGTTTCCTGGTACTATGCAACCTGGAATTAAACTAATAACAATGGGCCTTATCCTGGCTGATTTAAAGCTTAATTACAGAACACTTATACATTTATTTTCACCTTTTGCCGTTTTCTATCAAATTGAAAGATAATACCATGCCCTTTTTTATACTATAAAAAAGATCACCAAATTAGCAAACTTAACAATCCAACAATCCTGTGAACTTTGATGAATTGTGGTTTGTGTCAGAAAATGGACCCATTACACTGTATTTAAGCCGAGTGAGAAACAGAAAGATATTTTTTAAAAATTGTTCGATACGCACAATTATGGATAATAGAGAGTCTGGTCTGAGTTTAAAGAAAAAAAGTGAACCTACCTCTTAACATGTTCTATGTGCAAATGTAACTGATCCAAAGTGTATTTTGTGTCTGTTGCATTGGGGATTATTAACCGGTGCCTTTGTTGATTTGTGCCCACAGCGTTGGCATACTGATCTTGACATGCGTATTTTTTTACATTTATTGATGGATCACAGACCACATGAGAATTCTGTGTCGCTAATTATCACCTCACTTCTTCTTGTCTCATTACATTCACAGCCCTAATCTCTGATCTCACACTACTTTATGATTATCTGTGATAATTACAGGTTTCATAGTGTATTAGTGTTACAAATTAAGTCAGTCTGAAATAGTCTAGTCTCTGTTTTTTTATAATATTGTTTAGATATATTTTGATTTTAGTTTCTCTATTTATCTGAGTTCTCTTGTCCTTAATGCCTTTTGTTGCCTTAAATTAATAAGGAAAGACTGGAGGGTCTCCAGTTAAGCTTCATCTTTGTCTCTTTTACACTGAACCTTGATATCTAAGTTGCACGTCACTGAGCCAACGTTATGTCTGAGCCTTTTCCAATCTCTTAGTGTTCAAGGCTGAGGCGGGCGCCCATCATGCCCCCTTGGCCACGGTTTCCCACACCGTTCTCAGTCATCACACTCTCCGCCCTCCTTAAATCACTCACTGAGAGGCCTTGGCACGGTTCTGGGGAATGAACAGTAACTGCTTTGCGGTTACAGTTTTGACTATTTAAAGTAAAAAGCAATTATGGAAATGAGTTCGAGGTTAGGCTTTATTTGTCCCAAATACGCTATTGGTTTTATAAGATAATAAAGTCACATAGAATGAAAATAGTGAAATACCAAAACAATGAATATTGTGTGCCATGGCCCAGTTGATATATAAAAATAATCAAACATCAACGATAAAAATAAATTATAAATACATTAAAGATATAACACCAAAGTGGGAAACAATCAAATGTCATCAACAGAAGATTAGTACCTTGTTTTTATCATACATGCGTGTTCTGTAGCTGTGCATGGTTTGTATAAGTCCTGTTTCATATGTTTGACTGCAGGTTTGAAGCTGGCAGAGAGCACATGTTCCCCATGGAGTTCTTCTTTCCACCACAGAGGATGTGTCTTATCTGCTCAGACGAGGCCTCCGGCTGTCATTACGGTGCGCTCACCTGCGGCAGCTGCAAGGTTTTCTTCAAAAGAGCTGCAGAAGGTAAATCACAGAGGATCCTGAGTTTTGTGCCTCATACATCAACACCTGTTCGGCAGCTAAACCTGTTGCCTTTTATTGCAATCAGAGTGATATTTACAGATTCTGTACATTTAGGTTTTTATATTTTTGATCATTCAACAGGTTAATGACTACAAGTAACCTCTGGTTTCTCTGTCCATGTAGGCAAACAGAAATACCTGTGTGCAAGCAAAAATGACTGCACTATTGATAAGCTAAGAAGAAAGAATTGCCCGTCCTGTCGGCTGAGGAAGTGTTTTGAAGCCGGAATGACTCTCGGAGGTAGGCTGAATGAATGTACTAAAATCTGCTTTTAAACAGCAACTATTATTGTGATTTTTATTTAATTGCTGTGGTTTATTATAACATTACTAACCACTGACTGTTTTACCGGTCGTACCTGTTATCATCAGTTGAACTTCACTGCAGTCCCAGGATATGTGCAATGTGAATATGCATTTAAAATATGTACATTTGTGCAGTATGGACTGATAAAAAGTGTGCATTACATACTGTATGAACAAAGCACACTACTGAGAAAGTGAAGTCCTAAAAGTGAAACTATTAATGGTTTCCCAAGACCAAGTACTTTATTCTCTCTACACTGCACATCTTAGCTGGCTCTCTTCAATTGCAGCATCATCACAATAGGGGATGTTACTGATAATCAAGCCCCTGACTGAGCTGCCATGCAATTTAGACCTATTCCATTCACTTCTCCTTACTGTCACCCAGACTTGTTCGTCATATTAGGCTGTAAAGATTGACGTGTAGTGGACTAATTTTAGTCCTGTGTTCAATTTTCACTCTCTTCCATTTTCTCATTCTGTTAACGGTGAAAATTGTACTGGAAGCACAAAGCTGACATGAGACATGTGAATTAAAGCAGCAGACATGCTGGCAATTTTGCCACCAGTCACTGACAAACCCATAGAGGGAAAATGCGATCTAATGCTGTGATTGTAAGTAAAAAGGCACACCTTTTCTATTTGTGGCTAAAAAGAGCCCCCTTTCACTTATGTTCTCATCCTAGACATATAATTCACTCATGGCATTTCACAGGAAAATTTATGACAATCATTTGTTGAAGTGGAGGCAGAAAAATTGTACATTATACATTCGGTTGTATTATCCCCAAGGTTTTTTACTCAAAATACTTTAAAGCCAGGTCATAAAATACTGGAAGAAAAGGGGAATTCTAGTTTGGCTAATTGGATTCTGATGAATTTATTACAAAATTGCAAAAGTATTGGCAGTTATATAAATTAAATTATAAACTTTGTCTCATTAGATCATATCATTAAGATCTGTTATTTGTTTCCCTCCTTGTAGTTTGGAAAAGAAGCAAAGAATCCTGCGTATGTTGAGTTTGGCATCTGTTCAAGACTGAACTTCATAGTTATTATAATAATTTGAATTCCATGTTTTTCCTATATTAATTACATCCCCGAATAGAAACTGAGCAGGGAGGTTACTGTTGACAAACCATGACAGCAGTCTTATTTTGCTGAATCCTGAAGGAAGTTCACTGCACATCTGCACTTTGGCTCATTACACCTTACCCCTGATTTCCTTGGAGCTGGACACTTTTTTTTCATGAAGCTTCCAGAACAAATTGTGTGTTACACAAAAACCACTTCAGCTAAGATTACACTAGAGTTCAACTTTTTTAATAATTTACACAAGTTTCCCTTGTCGTCCAACTTCTTAGTGGAAAAAAGCCAGTGCAGTGATGCAGGACTGTCCTGACCTCATTCCATTGCCAGTTTAAATGTATTACTTTTTCCCCCCAAAAAAATATATTTCTACTATAGTCACAAAGTTTATTGACCATGAACACACTGTAAAACAGTCTAATAAATTATATACTTTTAAAGAAAAGTTTGAAAATCAGAGAAGAGAACAGCAGCAGTATAATGAAGTGTTGATGGAGGGTTGGAGTCCAGTGATGGTAACATGTGGGATGGCACAGATGAGGCCAAGGTCCTGCTGAGGAGACAGGAAGAAAGAAAGGGATGAGAGGGTCAGTGATATCTCGGAGAAAATCCACAGGTTGTATCATTGCCATAATAATGTAGCAGAAGCACACCAGTTACTGGTTGAAGCATCCAAGCCTTACGCTTAATGTCCTGGTCTAAAACTCTGCAACCTCGGCAACACGGAGTAATGTTATCTAACGCTTCATTCTGACCGCCTAAATCCTGTTGATTTAGCTATCTAACATTAACTCTGGCCATGCACGTTTACAGTTGTCAGCATCTATTGCTGCTATTCATGCCTCTCATACAAAATCTCTCTGTGGATAGTGAGATATTTGTAGATTGTCCTCTTTGAGTTACAAATAATAAAGTCCAATAAAAACTTCCATGTGTTTCATGACATGATGAAATCCCTAGAATGAATGACCACAGATCTTCAACTTTGCCACAGTTCAGTGGATAGTTTTTGGTTTTGGCTTTATCAGAAAAGGGTTAATGTTATGCCACAACTTGCTTTCACTAGGGCAGGGCTTTCAGATTGTTGCTTGGGCATTAGTATATAACTTAATTGTTCAGTTAATCCTGCAGTCCTCAACAAAGCAACCCGATGGTTCTTTTCCCTAGATTGCCCCTCTGACTCCTACTGGAGGATCCCAATGAGTTCTTAAACCAGTTGAGCTTTAAACTGCGTGTCCTTATTTGCCCCGAGGTCTTCTCCCAGTTCTTCTTCTCCCTCTTTTCCCAGCTAATTGAAACTAACATCTGCTCTACATGCAAAGTAATAGTGGGTCAATGCAGAGGCAATAAACATTCATGGGGTGGCACGAGGGTGGCATGGAAACTTTAAGGTGGCAGAAATATATACTGGTTTAATCGTAAACAATCACATATATCAATATTTGCCCCCAAACGAAGCTATTTTAGCCAAAAGTCATTACATTATTGTGCCACATTTGTAAAGCATTGAATAGAAATATCTAAAGGTGGCATTATAATTTAATAAACTGTTTTATTTCCAAATCTTCAGACATTTTTCCAAATACATTCTTTTTTCATTCTTTTTCATTGAACTTATCTAGCCTATCACTTAGTTAGTAATAATTCAATTAATTTCCATTTTTTAACATTGTTTTTGAATTAAATTAACATGTTAAATTTGACAGCATTTGTCACAAAACTGAAGTGGCCAGGCATTTTTTTCCCACCCCTCTAGATCCACCCCTGAGTCACTGCTAAGGTCCCCATGAAACTCTTTCACTTTACAGCTCATTCATAACAAGATTAAAATGGGGTAATGCTATGGTATCACAGAGTTAGTAACAACGTACTATATACTGATAATGTATTGGTAAATAATCATGTATAGTCTATAGAAGGTGGAGAAAGACTCCAAGGAGACATCTTCAAATGTCTTATTTTGTATGAACAACAGCCCAAAGCACAAACACAACAAGTTGAGATAAATGATATAAAACATTAACAAAATGACCAAAACATCAAAATAGTTGCCAATACATTTTCTGTTAATCAACAATTTCAAATATGTAGTTATCTTTTCAGCTTCAGTGTAATGATGCTATTAATAATCAGTCAGGATAAATAAAACAATCAGTTTTAATGGAACAATTTTAGTGTGAAATCTTTTCAATTATGTAGTAATAATGAGGTAAAATAAAGTGAAAGAGTATTTTGATGAAAAAGAGTGGGGTAGAGTAATAGCCCTAGACACACGGTAATATTGGGGTATTTAAAGAAATAGTGTCAAAGTTGTACTTCAGAATCTAATGGGAAGTTCTACCCAATGTAGTACATCAATCATTACAGCTTGTGTAAATTTGCTATTTCACAATTATAAAAAAATATGTTTTCTGGAAAACTTCAAATTATCTGGATTGTTACTGACAAGTTGACTTGACAACGGGACAACTAGAGTATGAGGACAAGACATTTTTAAGCGCCAGTGGAAGGTTTTATCAGCCTTCTCCCGCTTCTTTCTCTTTGTGTCAGACTCTCTCCCTCATACCCTTCCAGAAACACAACTTACATTGTTGAGCTGAACTAAAGTGAGATCTAAAGTGAGATCTGTAAAGGCGCACAATACAAAAGGCATTTCAAGAGCAGGAGAAATTGCTAAACTGATTAAAATAATAGTTACAATAAAGGTCATAATTATAATGGTGATAAGACAGGTATTAAGGAAGTGGACAAAAACGTCTTTGAGCACAAAACTTTGTAACAACTTGATTTGAGTAAAAACGGGCTTGTAATGGATAAGTCAGTGGTTTATTCTCAACAATTGTTGAGGTCAGTCAACAATGTATCATACCAACTGCAATATGTGAGTGTAACAAAGGCCATGCTTGAATTCATCGTTTTGATGTCGACCTCCTGTTTATATTGGCTTCAGCTCAAGGCAAGCATGGTTATCTTAAGGTTAGCTCAACCCAACCTGTTTACACTGTACTCTGAAAAGATCAGATGGCTGCCTGTGTCACAATTCAGAATCCCAGGGAAGAATTTTTAATTAACCATTTTTATTTCTAATGTTTGTTATTGGATCAGAAATGGAAGTGTGCGACTTGCAAGTTATCCTACTTATATAATTTGCTTTCAACCCTGCTACTTTTGAGAGAGACTTAAGTCGTGTCTATAACTGGCAATTCAATATTTATCCAACTGAACTGAAAAGCCAGGCTGCGGTTTTAATGAGACATTCTCTACACAGAAGCTGCAAAAGGCAAATGCATAACAATTAACAGTTAGTTTTTATGGTCAACATTGGATTAAAGAAATAATATGTCGCCTCTTATTGTTTTTTTAAAACTTCTTATAACTAAAACATTTATTGTCAAATGAATTAGATTACTATTTTAAAGACCTTGTTTCGTACCCCTCTGTAACTGAACAACATAATTGTTTGGCCTTCAATGCACTGAGCACATAGTGGACATTTGTATTTGTCTGTCATTTACTGTCCAACACAGCTGTCATTCTGAAATAACAGGCTGAACTCAAGCTCAACTGTTTGCAGCTCTTGTACTTGTGGAAATAAAACAGTCAGTTATTGAGTGCAGTGAATGGTTGGTGATCTTAAACCTGATTGTTAAAGAACCAAATTTATTTGGCAGCTGTTTAGCAGAATATAATTATTCCATTCTGATTGTACTTACTGTACATGGCAGTCTACTCCACCAAATCAAAGACCTGCTCCAATTTAGTTTGTAAGTGCAGGTTGTCATATGGAGCAGCTGCCTCAGGAGTTTCAGCATTTGTAAGTAAAGAAATTGTAGCTTTGTCGTGGCATTGATGGGGGAGCAGGGTTTTTTTTTTTCAACATACAGTATTTACTTTTTTTTTTAGTTTTGTTGTTTCCAAATCCTTTGTAGTGCATATGGAAACACAAATGTAATGCAAATGATTCAGTCAGGGGTCCAAGGATCCATTTTCAGCAAAGCCTTTTTAGGAAAAAAATGTAATAACAGGGGGAAAAAAAAATTTACATCTTCATCACCAGCAAGCTCTCACACATGATGACCACAGGCCTTTCCGCCAGATGAGGCTCATCTGTTCAGAGAGATTTCTTTCAAATGGAATATGATTCAATATCTTTAAAGCTATTAGTAGACCCATCTGAGTATTGTTGGGTAAAATTTATATTTCCCTTTAAAGGCTACTTAATACCCAAAGTTTCAGTATAAGACATTTCTAACAGATGATTTAGAAAGTAGAATTACATTAATTCGCAGCACTGTTGTTTTGGTTGCACGTGTTTCCTGTAATGTTTAAAAGACAGTTAACTGTACAGGTTCTTTTATTTAGGAATGATGACCTGAGAGGATTTCATTCATCGATTTTCAATCAACAGTTTTGTACTAGTATCTATGATTGTGATCATTTTTTGAAAAGGAAACCTTCTGGTATCATCACTCTGTCTGTTCATTCTCCATACCACATTTAGCTGTAATGGGTCCAATTTAGCAGTAAGAGATCTTAAAATCAAAGGCAGAAAATCAATCATGGCTCCAGACTTTAGAGCAATGGCAGTCAGTCTAAATCAATCAGATCTGTCAAAGCTGAAGTGATGGGATTAAACATCTGACTTTTAGTTCTTTGTTCTCTTTTGTATAATGTGCAATTCCGTGTGCAATAGAGTTAGAGACTGAAAACCAGGCTTAATTGTTAAATGAGTGTGTGGCAAAAAAAGCATTGACACACGTATTGGTATAACTTAAGTTGTAACTTTTTTATAAATTATGCTGATTCTTATTTTCTCGCTTTTGTATGTAGCACGCAAACTAAAGAAGATTGGACAACAGAAAAACCTTGAAGAGGATCATCCTGTTCAGGAACCTGTAGAGGTTATCCAGAATATCTCTCCTAAATCAGGCCTGAACTTCAACTCCCAACTGGTCTTCCTCAACATCCTGGAGTCCATTGAGCCTGAGGTGGTCAATGCAGGACACGACTACGGCCAACCGGACTCAGCTGACACCCTGCTCACCAGCCTCAACGAGTTGGGAGAGAGACAACTGGTCAAAGTGGTCAAATGGGCAAAAGGATTGCCAGGTAGGACACTAACTGAAGTTTTTGTTGGTGACTTTTAATTAATCACAGAGAGTTATGTTTTCATTTTTTTTTGGTCAAGAGACAACAAATGCTACATCCCTTCAGTAAGTGATTTTCAGTCACTTTTTTGGCCACTTAGGGGAAGCAGAAAAAAGCTGTAAGGACAACACTGACATATTATCATTTAAGTTGATTTGGCTAACTTGGTGACAAAGAGCTGCAGAGTTAGGTGATACTTGTCTGTGCATTTGTCACTATGAGTGACTCCCTTCAAATATAAGTATTGCTATTTGATCCATTCTGATTAAATACTGGCATCAGGAAATGTGTCCTTGGATGATAACTGACTATAAAACCTGTAACAAAATGCAGTGAACTAGCTCTCATGTTTTTTATTTAGCTGCTTTAAATCTAACGCCAACATCTGTGGCCTTTGACTTTTGTCAGAAAGGAAAAACATAAAATGAGAAGAAGTATGATTTTGCTCATAAAACAGGAAAATCTAACCAGAGGGACTATGGCTGGCAGTATTGCTTGATTATTCCCTGAAAATAGAGAAACCATTCAGTTATTCTCTGGTCTTCTCTGCCCATAATTAAATTGGACTAAAAACTGAATGGATAACATCTGAAAATATAATATATGTGTAACAGCTGTCTGTTTTGTAATTACCATAACAGCTCTTGTGTTGCTATCTCATCATTAGAAGTTTTCATTGTGGAAGAAAGTGTCACAATTTACATAAAAAATGAATAACTGTTGGAGGTGCTCTAACCCACATGCCTGACAGGATAGTACATGTGTCAAGGTGTGTGTGCAAGGTAGCGAGGAAAAGGACCCAAATGCAGACAACCAGTCAGGCTGGGGGGTAACAATCTTGAGGCTAGCCAACATGGAAGCATACTAAAGGCTAAGAGGCCCAAGGCTACTTGAAATCAAGCAAAGCGCTAGCTGGTAAACTGCTAGGCTGCTCCAGGGAGACGCTATGAGGGTCCATGAAAAGCATTGGGTCTGTGAGCAGAAATTGAAAGATGCAGACGGGCTCAGGAGTAGTGCTTGATAAAAACTTCCAGATCAAGAATGCCACTGCAAACTCAGGGTCCCACTTCCAGATGGCAGCGAGGCCCTCCAGGAAGCCTGGCTCTTAATTTAGGAAAATGTAGTCACTCCAAACTGATCTGAAGAAAATGGCAGGCAGGGCTGGTGAGTGCATAACAGATCATGCCGTCATGTGGGTGTGTGCGAGGCAGGACTCACATTCAGTCATGATTTTAATGGTAAAATGATAATATATAAGCTGCAGCTTACAGTCAAGTCCAAATTCCAGGCATGAACATTGACGATCTGTCCACTGACTGGAGAAAAGGGGCCGGTATAAATTCTATGGGGTGCAATTGGGGATTGGGAAACAGTTGAGCAGGTGGATGTCAGAGTAAGGTGACTGGGACAGGTGGGAAAGTCTGAGGGCATCTGATGGAAAGTCAGATAATGGCAATAACTGCAAAGCTTCATAGGAATGTGGAGGCCTTGGGAATCTGGCTGAAAGGAAAGACAGAGACGTAGATTGGACAAAAATAAAAACAGCTGAGGCAGTTGTGACAACACGAGGACTTGATTTATGTGGCTCTATTCGTACAGGCTGGTGACAATAAGACAGTAAAACAATCTCATGCAGAATTGTGCACGTGAGAATAGAAATGGAAAAAGTGCAATTGTAAATTTCAATCTATGATTTAAATTATGTCAATAAAACATTCTAATCAAAAGCCAGGCTGAAATAGCGGGCTTTATGTTTATGTTTAAAGATATAAACAGTGCTCTCAGATCCTCACCAAACATTTTTGTCCTGTACTTCGGAACAGCTAAAAGACTCGTGCCAGAAGAGCTGACGGGTTGTCCTGGTTCATACATACATAGAGAGTCTTAGTGTAAAACCATGAAGTGTTTTTAAAAGAAGCAAAATCATCTTTAAATGATTATGAAAACTTCTGGTCCTTCTCAGCACTCTGGCAGCAGTGTTCTGATTCAATATGATTGAACTGCAATATTGCAGTATCATGCCATATTTTATGATGCTGAATCTTTGTCCTTAGGTTTTAGAAATCTCCATGTGGATGACCAAATGACTGTCATTCAGCATTCATGGATGGGGGTGATGGTGTTTGCCCTCGGATGGAGGTCCTATAAGAACGCCAACGGCAGGATGCTCTACTTTGCCCCAGATCTTGTGTTCAATGAGTATGTATACCTCTGAATTCTTGGATTCAATTATGTCCTGCAGAATAGTGTCATCAGGGGGTGACCAACACGCTGTGCTCTATAGAGATCATCCACCAGTTTCTCTCTGTCTTCATCTCTTTCTCTCTCCGTCGTTCTCTCATTTGCTTTCCTGCTCCTCCACAAATACAAAGAAATCTCTAGAATTTTTTAAATGTGAAGTAGGAATGGCTACAGGCTTTTTGGGACCATGTCCATCCAATTTCTTCCCTAGGTGTTCTTTTGTTACTGTGAGATTAAAATGAGGAACATTCGTTTTCAGCATTCAAACTCTGACGGCCCTGGTGAGTGAAGCTGATTTAGATCGGAATATTATTCATGACAGACAACAACAGTGATGAGGTCTGTTTGAGTGTTAGGGAGAAATATTAATGGCCTTATTTAGTTCCATCAAATATTTACTGCCATAGATTTGTGGAAGTAAATAATGTAAGTTGATCTATAATGGTTATTTGTGTTATTTGTTATGATATACAGCATGCAGGATATTTTACACATCGTATTTTCCTACATATTTTTAGAAAAGTATTATGTAGAACAGCAAAACTATTTTAGTTATACCCCCATACAGAAATTGAGTTTTTAAATTTGAATCACATTTAAGCAATTTACTGATTAACTGAAGTTTGGTGCTGATAAATACTGTTTAGTATATATTTATTATTTATTTATTTATACTATATTTAGTATATATATTTTCATGTTGATTCAGATAATGCATCTGTAATTATTATCAGTTGGCATAGGCCAAGACTATGATGTGGTAACATAATTTGGGCAACATCAGTCCATGTTGCATATCACATTTAGTTGTAATGTGCAGTAATAGATCTCAAAATGTATTAAAAGTAAAAAAAGTCTATCGTGATGGATGTAAGTCCTTAGAACAAGAACAGGTGAATAAGTCTGAATGGTTCAAAATAATTTATATTTATTAATATAACCAGAGGGTTAGCCTTGTTGTAGCCTTGTAACTGGAAGGTAGCTGGCTCAATCTTGAACTGGCAGGATAAATCTGGTCAGAGAAGTTAGTGAACAACAAAACTCACAGCTCTATGCTGTTTGGTCCACTAAACCCAAACTGTGTCACTCAATAAATGAGGAAAGTCCATTAGTGTGTTGTTTTCTTTCCCTTTTCTGAAGTTCTTCTGAATGCATATTATATTCACAGTTTGCCTTTTTCTAGCTGTCTATGTGTAAGCACTGGGCTTAGTACAGCCAAAAAACATCAGGGAATCCCCAACAGATTAAAGTTGAAAGTATTAGTACATGACTACAGGGAGATTTTAGTGTTTCTCTCTGATTTTCCACAACCTTTACTAGTTTTTGATGTCACGATGGAAGTTGATTTATTGAGTGGTTTTTCAAGGTGTGGTAGATGAGTAGTACAGATTTTGAGGACTGAATTAGGGCTGGTGGAAGCCATATAAGTCAAAAAGGTGAATAATTCCAGTTTTTTGAAAGAAATTTTAGCATGAAGTGTTAATGGACTGAAGTGCTCCTTGTCATCTTTTAAATTAGCTGCTTACCGTCTCCTGCCAGCCAAGTCTGTCCTTTTAAATAGGCAAAAACCAGGCGCAGTCTGGAGTAGTAGTATTTCAGTAGTAATTGGAGACTGAAATAAGGAGTGATTTAAAGATTGAAAAAAGGTGTAGACTACTTATATACTTCACCTTCATAAAACCCCATCACATCAACCATACAGTTATCTGGTTTACTCATTTTTTTATAGCAAGAAAGATTTCCATGTGAAAGAATAGATATTTACTGAAAACTGTATCTCATTAGACAGTTCATAAAAATGTATATACGATGGTTGCACTGGTGTGCATGCAGAAGCAGATTGTCATGGTTATAAAATACAGTTTGTCATCATTTATACTTCAGGTCAGAAGGACAGCTGACACACCTGAAACAGCCAAACTACAGACAAGATGTAAGCTTAATTAAATTATTAGTTCAACATTTTGGGGAATTAACTTATAGGAAGATTGATACAACTCTCATGTTTGTCTGGTAAATATATGGCTAAAGCCAGTAGCCAGGTAGCATAGCTTAGCATAAAGACTGGAAACAAACACTGCTCCTGGCCCAGAAATAGTCTGTCTGGCACATTACACTAAAACAATGAATCGTTGATTTCACACTTTTTGTACAGATTAAATAAAGATGATTACACATGTTTTATGTTATGTTATAATTAGTAAGCTTTGAAAGTGTTAGTTGGCGGATTTTGTTAACTTGGGAAAGAGCCAGGCTAGTTGTTTCCCCCTGTTTCCAGTCTTTACACTAAGCTAAGCTACATGGCTGCTGGCTTTAGTCGTACAATTACCAGACAGACATGATAGCTGAATCTCTCATCCAATTCTGTGCAAGAAAGATAATTTCCCAAAGTATTGAACTAACCCTTTAATTAAACTTACATTAAGTCTGTAGTTTGCTTGTTGTAGGTGTGTCAGTTGTCCTACTGACCTGACTGTTGATGTTCTGCTTTATGACCCATTACAAATCACCAGTGTCTCCACATTGACTTGATGAAGTTTCAAGCCAGAAAGGTTAGCTATCTGCCGAACATTGTTGTCACATATTGTCGGCTAAATGGCACGATAAAGGCAAGTGCAGCAGCTCAGTATACAGTAATTGTGATCGGTGTTTGGAGGTGGGTGTCAATTTCACAACAATATCAGCAACAACATCCAAGTTTCTATATTTTGTTTATATGAGCTTATCCAAAAACTTTGCAACAATTATAGTATACATGGGTCATACACTGTGTACATTATACATTTATATAACCACATATCTGAAACTCGGCATCCATTTCCAGTGAGATGGAGAACATTCAGCTCTATTTCATATCTTTTTCTTTATATTCAAGCTCGTTTCTGCGCTCTGCAGTTGGTAAAATATATTGATGTAATTCCTTAAATATACCTTATTTCACCTTTATCTTCACAGTATGTCAAACTGTCTTTTTCCTGATTCATAATAAAGGCAGAATCGTTTCATTTTGGAAGAGATGGCAAACTTTCTCCCACTATTCTCTTCCCATGCTTGTTGAATTAACTGGAAATTGTTTCCGGAATGATGAACATGAAATATCCAATCACTTCTTATAATATTAGAATATAATTGACTAAAACATTTTACTGAACTATAAAGCCAATTATAAAGAAAGAGATTATAGTGTAAAAACGTGTGTTTTTAACATCTTGCTGCAGATGTCAAAGATCACACAGCAGAAATCTGTATTGTTATAAAGATAATTCACTCCCACTGTCCTTATTGCACCATTAATAGATATGGCTCTAACCTCTGACGTTCTTTCCTCTTCAGCAGTTATCCATTACAGAATAAATGTCCAGGGTGTAAAGCAATTTGTCCTTCACCTCTGGGGATTTGAATATTTCCATTATTTCACATTTCTCTCCCTGACCTTTTTACATCTGCAGACATCGGATGCACATTTCCACCATGTATGAGCACTGCATACGGATGAAACATCTCTCACATGAGTTCCTGCTGCTGCAGATCACTCAGGAAGAGTTCCTCTGCATGAAGGCCTTGCTTCTCTTCAGCATTCGTAAGTACTGTCCCATATACTGAGCACCAAAAGGTCAAAACAAACTGCATTACTTTATCCCAAAAGCCGACATGCAATAGACAGAACAAAGTCAGAAATTTAACTTCTAAGCATGTGATCAAAACTGTTTCTCTGTGTTCACTAGTTCCAGTTGAGGGACTGAAGAGTCAGAAGTACTTCGATGAACTGCGTCTCACCTACATCAACGAACTCGATCGCCTCATTAACTATCGAATGACCACCAATTGTTCTCAGAGGTTCTACCAACTCACCCGACTCCTGGACTCTCTCCAGATGGTGAGATACACCGCTTGTAATGATTTCAAGTTAACTGTGGTTGCATGTACACATGATGATGGCTATGACTGAATTGTGAAAGCTATGTGAAAGATATATGAACATGTGGGTGCAAGAGTTGTAATTCTACTAATTTGCTTAAAACAGTTCTTGGCAATGCGTGCAATTAAATCACAGGAGATACTGTGTTTTTTTTTAATAGGCCACGGAAAGTTGCTGCATTCAAGCAAAATCTGATACCTTAAAATCTAACAGCAGGGTAGAAAAAACCTAATGGATGAGTTTACTATGAGTCAGAGCTCTTCAATCCAGAGTTATTATAGTTTATACGTTTTTCATTAGTTTTTATTTTAATTTTATTTGTTTATTTATTTATTTAATTTCAATTATCATTTAAAAATATTTAGTTTTATGTAGATATATATTAGTTTCGCTATTAGTTTTATTTATTTATTTTTTAATGAGGGGGGTGTTTGTCAGGGGCAATATTTAAGAATTTTAAAATAAGTGTTTCAATACAAACACACTAACACAGTCATGTAGACATCCCTGTCTCAATAAACATATGCAGCAATGCCTCCTCATGCTTGTTGTGTTGACAAATTTAACCAAATTGAGAGTAAAAGTAAAGACATTTCCTCTATATTTTATTTCATTTTAGTTAGTTCATAAGTACACAATTAAGTTAGTTTTCTTTTCCTTTCTAAAGGCTAGTTTTTATTTTTATTTTAATCAACAAAATTTTTGTTAAAACAAAGTTTTAGTTTTTAGTTTGGTTTTAGTGAACTATAATAAAAGATTTGGCCATGTCACCTGTCTTAGGGAAGTTGGATGTACCTTATATTTTCATGATTCTGCTAGAATTGTATTCAAATGACGTTTATTTGTGTGTTTCTTCTGTTTCAGACCGTAAAAAAGCTCCATCAGTTTACATTTGACCTTTTTGTCCAGGCTCAGTCACTCCCCACGAAGGTCAGCTTTCCAGAGATGATTGGAGAAATAATCTCAGTACATGTACCAAAGATCCTGGCAGGTTTGGCTAAACCAATCTTGTTTCACGAGTAGAAGGACTTTTAAAATCAAAAAGTGACTCAACTTTGCTGACCTCCATAAACTTTAACAAAGGTACTGTTTCCTTACATCTTCAGTGTAATAGCTCCTAGCCCTGTCCTGGAATAATTTTTTCCTTTTAGCCATAATTGAGATAGTTTGTTCAGAACTATTAAAAGCTTTTACCTAAAGCGCTGCAAGGCATCACCTGTTGACAGCTCTGCTATTTCTGAGTGCAGAGTTTGTGTTTTCAGCTGGAGCAGAGATGCTACTTTACATATGCAGTAAGTCTGTAAATCCTGATTAAATAAACTTAAAGTAGCAGGGTTAACGACACAAGATTTGCATGTGACCTGCATTATAAATACACTTGACAAGGTATTCATGAAAACTAAAAAACGAGAGATGGCCCAAAGATGAAGATTGGATAACAGAAAGAAACAAATACTTATTTCCCATCAACTTACCAAAATCTTTTTGTCTAAGTGCTGCCTTCAGGGGCACCTACTAAGTTCCTGCTTGTGAAATTGAGAGTGGTAAATACAGCTTGGGAGGCATTTAAGTGCTTAAGTGCCTTAAAATCAGAACTGTAGGTCTCACATTTGTTTTAAGAAGTCTCATAATTTCACTTTAACATAATTTTTATTAAGTTTTCTATCAAATGGGTCAAATCCTAAAGTCCTGGCATGACATTTAAGTGTGGCACCATTTTGTGTAAAAATGCCATGACAATTACAATCAGTGTAAGTATGGTAGTCAAGGATCGCAACTGTAAAACATAAACTTTATACTTTGTGTAAAATATTAGACATTTTTTTGCTGTGTAAATGTACAGTAGTTTTAGTGCTGCAGAAACGGAAACTAAATAGTGAAATCGCTAGTTATTCATATGGAAATCCAACTGTGTAATAATTACTTACATAATTACTGTCGCTTACGGGCTCACATGCTTCTCAACAACTATTTTTTGCAGAAAATTCCCTCCCAGTTATATTTCCTGCCTCTTTGGGTCACTGCCCAAAGACACTTTGACATGCAGATGGAGGAGCCAGGGATTTAACCACCAACATTTTGATTAGTGAACAACCCGCTCTACCTCCTGAGACACAGATGCCTCACTTTTTGACAGTAAAAAAAACCTGTGTTCATCCAGTATTCAAAATGGGTTAATTCACACATAAAGTCAAAAGTTTATTTGCCTTGTCTTTGGGGAAGACAGCGGTAAATATGACAGGTCATGTAAGGTTGTAGGACAGGTGTTTTGTCTGGTAGCAACCATAAAAACAAAACCTCACATTGAGTATTTATTTGCTCTTGTCTTGTTCTAAAATGAAAACACATGATCAGTGTTTCAATTCTTACAAAGTACAGAATAATGTCAAATTTTCAAGACGACCATGAAAGAAACAAGTTATATATTGTTTAACTGTGAACAGTACATTGCTCAGCACAATGTAGACAACACACTGCATGCTTAGCCTACTGTCGCTCTGCACTTAACACCTTTTCTCATTACATTGGCAGCTGATTTAGTGCTTTTTTTCTTGATTAATTTTACAGCGTTAACTTATAAATAATTTAGTGAGTAAACTTGTTAAAAGCAGGTACCTGGCATGAGTGAAGTTGGAGAAAATTGGACAATTTGTTAAGAAGTTTCTTCATTCTTTATTTCTAAACTCCATAGCTTCAAAGTTATTCATAATTAAATATTAACATTTCTTTACAATCCATCTACAATCTTTATAATATTCTTAAAAGAATATATTGCACCAAATCTCTATGAATTTAAATTCATAAGGAAACTAAGGAAATTGCTACAAAAATATCACACCATCTGCATGCTTTTAGAACGTATCGTACACAACCAGCATTAACTATAAAGCATGTAAAAGCAAAGCAAAGGCACGTAACAAATTACAAGCTAGAAGCATAAGATGAATTGATAAAATTATAATGCTAAAATGCACAGCGCTACATGCAGCATACACAGCTCTTTACCCGTATAACACCATCCCTGCTAGACAATGTGTTGTTGTTGTGACGCGGTGGCGTGCAGCAGGGAACGGGAGAGTTGCAGAGAAACAAAGAAGAAAGTATGGCACAAAATACAGGCAAATACTGAATAAGAACTTGATTGAGAGTGCCAGAGATCTTAGGTTGGGGCAGTAATGTTCCAACAGGACAACAAACAGAAACTTACAGCCAACTCAACACTGGAAGGGCTTCAGATGTAGATTGTTAGAGTCCTTGACTGGCCGTGCCAAACCAAGAAAAAAATCTGTGGAATGCCTTGAAGATAAATGATCACAGACTTGAGTAAAAATGTTAAAAAAATTAATTCATTGAGTTGAATGCGATTATCACATTTGTATTTGAAATAGTATCTTTCGGTAAATGAACTAGAATTCATTTATTTGTTTAACACAATTCAACTCAAACAGAACTTCAAATTAACTTCTATGGTATATTCTGCAGCGATGTTTTATAACTGGAAATTTCAACACTTTTTAACAATTCCACATTTGTTTTACAAGCTTGTAGATGCATGCACCGTGTTTGTATAACTGTATGCAAATTTGCAACTGTATGTAATTTTTAGCTTTACAGAAAGCAATGCATGGACATCCACGCATCCCTCCAAGTACCTGTTTATTGTATACTGACTGATAATGTCATCATTGTTCAATGCATGGGACATCTTCAGAAGGCATGATAACATTTTGTTGTACCGTATACAGTGATGAGTTGACTATGACAGTCAGGTTCACATTTTTTGTAACTGATTTGTTTGTTTGTAACTCATTGATAAACTTCAGTGGAGTGTTTGGAGTACTTCATCTATATAAATGAATGTCTTCATGTCTTCATCTTCGTCTTTTTATACAATATTTGCTGTGTGAATAGAAATGGGGGAGAAGAGGGAATCCAGAAGTCATGGACAAATACAGGTGATCCATGAGACATCACCTCACCAACAGCTAATCATAGCCCAGACACTTGTGTCTGCTGTTATTTGAGAAAGCAGCAGTTTAGTGTAAAGTTGAAACTACACAGAAGCCTGATTAAGACATCAGAAGTAGCCAGATTATATATATTTATATGCATGCACAAAAACAGTAAAATGATTCGGAGTATCAGTATTTTAATTAAGCACATTATTCTTACTTTTCGATCAAATTCACACATTCAGAAATATTTATCAAGCCTTCTGACATTTCCTGAATGCACTGGACTGTAAGACTGTTACAGTTAACATTTTACTATTTATCCTTGAAATGAACACTGGTTCTAAATAATGTTGTATTTTTTTATGCTTTTTAGCTTGATGTATTACACATAAAGGCATTACCACTGCGAAGGGATCAAATGCCTCAATGAGCCACACTGTACATTTTTAATACTAATATGGTTTAATCATAGTAGGCCACAGTGTTTGTATTACGTCAATTGAAAATAGCTAGTATGTGCCCTTGTACTGCATATTAACCTGGTTATTTGTACATGCTACAGTAACTGTATATATTGATTAGTTTAATGTCTGTTTTGGTGTCCAAAGACTTGACTTTTAAAGTAATCTCTTTTATGATTTATACCTTTTGTGACGTGTGTTTTTCAAAATTGTAAAGCTGCATCATCTTTTAAAGGCAATTAAAATAATTCTGACTCTGAGGACGGCATAAGAGTTTGTTTCAAGCAATTGTACAAACTACAGTATATAAAGGAGTGGAGAAGGAATTCCATCATTGTAACTCCAAATACATGTTATGCTTTCTTTGAATAAAAAGATATATGCTGGGAACTACTTCGATTTCAGCTTTACAGAAGCTTAACTTTTACTTAATTTTGATTATTTGAATTCTGACTTGCATACACTGCATGTAAGGTGGATAAAAGAACAAATTAAACATGAAAAAGAGCATATATGATAACATACGAATATTAGTAACACATAGAGAAATGTACAACTGACAGTTGGCAAGCATGATGCCGTAAAAAATGAAAGAATGACTGAACCAAGTATCAGGTGGTATGTTCCCAAAGAAACGCAGAAGTGAGTAAATACATGGTTAATTCAGCTTAGACATCCAGTAACAGTGCTTTCTTCAGTGAGAACACACATTATTTTGTTCTTGTGTGTGTGTGTGCCCTATCTGAGAGTCTTGCACTTGGCTGCATTTTGATTTACTGAAGCTCAAGCTAATATGAATTGGCATGAAATCAGCAAGGGAATTTTCACCGGTCCTGGATGTGGGCCAGCCAACCATTTAGTCCTATGCTGAGGCCAATACAGATGAGGTACAAGTTGGTAAATTTAAATGTGGAATGAAAAGGGCTGTGGAGAGGAGGCAAGGCCCTGACTGGCAGTGAAGGTTGGAATGTGGTGGGAGGAGCGGATGGTAAAATAAATACAATGTCCGACTGCAAACAGGATTTTAAAACAGATGGTTTCCCAAATATTACGAATTATTGAGAGCATATTGGTAGAAATCACTGTGTTCCCCTTTTTCATTTGGAATATTTTGGGTGGGAAAGCTTAACATCTTAAATGTATAACTTAACTGGAATTTTGAGAATATATTGCTTCTTAAGTTCTATGTATTTCCTGTTGAAACTAGATATTTGGATGGAAATGAATAAAGGCCAAACTTTGTGGAGATACATGACTAATTGTGCCCATCAAAGAGAGCATTATCGGGATTACCATTTTAAAATGCATCTTTAAAAATACACTCAACACATTGTTTATGCTAAAAATCTTGGTAACAATTTTTTTTCTAAGGTTATATTGATCTGTTGTCTTATATAATACATTTACATCAATACTTTTTATTGACATTTTTTCTTCTTTTCTTTTCATTTGCATATTTGGGTGTTGAGGTAATGAGGTAAGAAGTTACATTACTTTAATATTTAGGTTACTGACTAAATTTTTTAACAGGGGATCAATAATTGTATCGGAATATTTTTGTTTAAGTAGAAGACCCTGTCAGTGGGTCCCACACTTTTAGTAAACCATCTCAACTATTGGATGGACTGCCATGAGCTCCGATACATGCATTCATCTTCTGATCAGGATGAATTTAATAACTCTGGCGATCCCTTGACTTATCATCTGGCATCATCATCAGGTCAACATTTCAATGGGTCCAATACTTTCCTATCAGCCTCAGCTGTACCTCGTGTTTAGTGCTAATTAACTAATGTTAGCATGCTAACATGCTAAACTAAGATGTAAACATTACACCTGCTGAACATTATTGTGAGCATGCATTTTGCTCAAAGCATGCCTGTTTACGGCCTCACAGAGACACTAGCATGGCTCTTCATCTTTCTGCTGATGTTATAAAATGTTACCACTAAAACATTTTCAGCACAAAGTAGGCAACAATTCATTCTTTGCATTAATTTAAGATACAGGGTTCATTGTTGTGCCCCATTGTATTCCAGCTGTTACATGTGTCCAACTGGATGTTTTTATTTAAAAAACAAACAAACGGAGAAGTAAAAATGTTCAACCCAGACCGAATCAATTAAAAAACTTTTTTTTAAATGATTATTTATTAATTTTATGATATAAAGTATGTGTACTATTTCCTTACACATTTCTTAAATTAAGGTGTGAGATTATATACCCAGCTTAAATTACTTGCATGCAACTCTGCAAACTGTTTTTGCACCTGCACTTGGCTGGCATAGATGGTTCTGGCAAGTTACAGACTTGTTAACCTCACATTAAGGAGTGATAAATCTTTTAAGCAAACTGTTAACTCTTCTATATCCAAAGAAAGAACACTTACAATAAAAAAAAACCCTTCATTTACTCATATGAGTGATTTAAAAAGTCAGCACACTAAAGAGAGAGGAGGGGAGACGGGACAAAAAATATCATGTAGTAACACAAAACTGAACGGTAATACACAGCTCTTTTTAAAAAATTTCATGCTAAGAACTTTTCATTTTTATTTTCATTTTTTAAAACAAATCCAACCAGACAATAACAAGAATTTTCAAGTTGGGTTATCAAAGAAAAAAAAGGTATAACATATTAACCATAACCATAAGAAATAAAAATAAAAAACGCTGGAGTGTTATTTTCACATATTGTAACAATATGTTTTGATTCCTGCTTTTTAATCCCAACAATTCATTTGAGGTGCATCAGATTCAGGTAAACTTTGAGCAGTCTCTTGTGCAGCATGACCTACCCACATGGGAGTGTGGAAGTATGGGAATGTACGCTAATGAATACATTTTAATAATTCCCTATTAAACTTACACTAGCATTATATTCATTGTGTAAATTCAAACTAAACTGACTGGCTCACACTTTATAGCAAAATACTTTTTGTAATGCCTCCTAAAAAGTGACTTGTGTTTTGATGACACGTTATGTCTCAACAGACATACATTCAAATTCAAATTTTGATCTAAATATTTTTTTGAATGGACAAACTAAAATGGCTTCCAAGGAAATAATTACTCGATAGATGTAGCTTAATATGAATTTGCTTCATATAGTTCCTTGACAGATCATTATTACATGATCAATTTTATAAAATCTATAATATTATATAATATATAACATTAATATTAAGACTAATATTTCACATTTTCAAATCAATAATGATTAAACGGATTAATTCCATTTAATTCAATTAGTCTTCTTTGGGAGATCTATTTTACAAAGATAAAAACAAGCATGGAGACTGCAGACAACAAGATGTCTAAGTAAGGTGTTATAACCAGCTATGGCAGTTAGTTCCCTTCAATAAAATTGGCCATTCAAACATTTTAACACTGTAAAATTACAAAATTATTTGACAAGGGGAAGAATAGTAGTCCACTCCATCTCCATCCTAACTTTGGAATAATGATCCAACACTGAGCCAATGAGTATGCAAGCTCATTCAAAAGTCAGTTTGCTACGGTGTTGCCTTACAACACCATTCTTTCTATTTAAAAAAAATTGGAATCAAATACATCCATTCACTTCTGTGGAGAGCCATTTATCTCCCAGATCAAGATCAACTGAGTTTATTTTCCGTTAACTCCATCCAGCTTGATGTGGACCCAGCAGCACCATGCGGCGGTCACATGATGTGAGAGTCTCCTTAACTTTAATCCTGAGGAGACAAAACAAATGAATTAAAAAGGACACATTAAAAAAGAGGAAACAAATTAGTAAATTTAACAGGTACAGTACAATCTGTGATTCAACAGCATAAAAACTGCAGAAACAAATTGCAAAATTACAGTAAATCTCACCTCTTTTTTTACATTTGTCACTGCTGATGGGGGCGGAGAGGGAGGTGGACTAGATTAGAACAGAAAAAGCAAATTACTTACGAATCCATTTATGGTTTCAGCCACCAGACCACCCATCATCTGCCCGTATGCACAGCGTGATAACCGTGATTTTGCAGCTTCATTGCACTAATGTATTGTATATGTATGTATGTGATA